TTGACGCTTATTATATTTGAATCCTATAGCTGAGGTGTGGCCTGCACTTCAGCAGCCAGTGTGCAGGTAACCTTTGGCAGCCTTAGTTTACATTTTGACTATGGAGCCCTTGCTGCTGTGTTTATCTGGTGATCAACACTCAGTGGTCTGCCCAAGGGGGGGTTGGCAGCACCCATGTTGGGCATCAGAGGTCTGAAAATGTCTACTGCTGCCTGTGCTTTCCTGTAGTATATTTACAATTACACCTTCTTGTTTACTGCACAAGTGTCACAGGGAAAGGAAGTGAGGGAAAATATCCACAATGGATCACCGAATTAAATAAAAAAAAAAAAAATCAAACTTTCGATTCTTCTCTAGTCTCTTCAAAATAAAAAATGGAGGTAGAATATTAAATGTAATAAATGCGTATAGTTATCAAAGCCTAATTATGTTTAACCACTTGCCTTTACATGCACATGAACTTTAATGGCATCCCAGTCTTAGGCTGGCCATACATTATACAATTATCTGCAGATTTTTGGTTTAGATTTACCAAAAACCATATAATAGGAGGACAAACCTAAACAACACTTTCAGTTGTATCCAATTAGGCAGGCCCTTGCACTACATAGTTGAAGGTAAATCTAAAGGAAATTGGGCAGAAAATCTGCAGATAATTGTATAATGTATGGCCAGCCTTAGTCTGTTGGGTTCAGTATTGAGTTGGCCCACCCTTTGCAGCTAGAACAGCTTCAACTCTTCTGGGAAGGCTGTCCACAAGGTTTAGGAGTGTCCCTTTGGGAATGTTTGACCATTCTTCCAGAAGCGTATTTGTGAGGTCAGGCACTAATGGTGGACGAGAAGGCCTGGCTTGCTGTCTCCGCTCTAATTCATCTCAAAGGTGTTCTATGGGGTTGAGGTCAGGACTCTGTGCAGGCCAGTCAAGTTCCTCCACCCCAAACTTGCTCCACCATTTCTTTATGGACCTTGCTTTGTGCACTTGTGTGCAGTCATGTTGGAACAGGAAGGGGCCATCCCCAAACTCTTCCCTCAAAGTTGGGAGCATGAAATTGTCCAAAATGTCTTGGTATGCTGATGCCTTAAGAGTTCCCTTCACTGGAATGAAGGGGCCAAGGCCAACCCCTGAAAAACAACCCCACACCTTAACCCCCTCCCTCCACCAAACTTTACACTTGGCACAATGCAGTCAGGCAAGTACTGTTCTCCTAGCAACTGCCAAGAGAACATGACTCCACTGCTCTAGAGTCCAGTGGCGGCGTACTTTACACCACTGCATCCGACGCTTTGCATTGCACTTGGTGATGTAAGGCTTGGATGCAGCTGCTCGGCCATGGAAACCCATTCCATGAAGCTCTTTACGCGCTGTTGTTGTGCTAATCTAAAGGCCATACAAAGTTTGGAGGTCTTTAGCTTTTGACTCTGCAGACAGTTGGCGACTTCTGCAAACTGTGTGCTTCAGCATGCACTTACCCCGCTGTTAGTTTACATGGCCTACCACTTGGTGGCTGAATTGCTGTTGTTCCCAGTTGCTTCCACTTTGTTATAATATCACTAACAGTTGACCGTGTTAATTTGTTATTTGCCAAAGATGATGATTTACAATTAAGGCTTTGTTCAATAGTTGATTGAATTCACTGAGCTCCTGAGGGTGACCCATTCTTTCACAAATGTTTGTAGAAGCAGTCTGCATGCCTAGGTGCTTGATTTTATACACCTGTGGCCATAGAGGTGATTGGAACACCTGAATCCAATGATTTGGAGGGCTGGCCCAATACTTTTGGCAATATACTGTATATGTACAGTGCCTTAATGGTTAGCACTTCCGCCAGTACTAGGGTCGTTGGTTCGAATCCCAACCATGGCACCACCTGCCTGGAGTTTGCATGTTCTCCCTGTGCCTGTGTGGGTTTCCTCTGGGTACTCCGTTTCCTCTAAACACTCCAAGGACATACTGGTAGGTTAATTGGCTCCTGTCTAAATTGTCCCTAGTATGTGTATGTATGAATGTGAGTTAGGGACCTTAGATTGTACACCCCTTGAGGGTTAGGGACTGATGTGAATGTACAATATATATGTAAAGTGCTGTGTAAATTGATGGCACTATATAAGTACCTGAAATAAATAATAGTGTGTGTTGCATACATGTATAAAAAGAACATGAACATAAGTGGTGCCCTACACTTGAGCAGCATCCTCATAGCTGCTGCCGGGCTAATGCAATCTACTTCTGTTACATTTCTGTAAACATTGCGCTCGCTACACAGAAGACGTACAAAGCTCTACTTCCGGAATCCCCTACAAGGAACGTGACGTCACACCGCAGAGAACTACAACACCCGGTGCGCACTGCACGCCGACACGCCTGGAATCCGGAAGTGAGCCGGGGGTGGCTCTGGGCGGGTCATGTGATAGCCAGGAAGGCAGAGTCTGTTGTACTGGAAATCAGCTGTTGTGTGGCGACTGTTCAGCGCCGTGACTGAGCGAAAGAAGACCGAGCTGACAGTGTGCACCCCCTACACTGAGGAGGAACAGCCTGTGTGCGGGGGAGGGGGAAACAAAGACACCCTGCACACTGTGTGAGGAGGACCCAGAGACTTACCCTGCGCACTGTGTGAGGAGGAACCAGGGACTTACCCTGCGCACTGTGTGAGGAGGAACCAGGGACTTACCCTGCGCACTGTGAGGAGGAAGCAGAGACATACCCTGCGCACTGTGAGGAGGAACCAGAGACATACCCTGCGCACTGTGAGGAGGAACCAGAGACATACCCTGTGCACTGTGTGAGGGGGAACCAGAGACATACCCTGTGCACTGTGTGAGGGGGAACCAGAGACATACCCTGTGCACTGTGTGAGGGGGAACCAGAGACATACCCTGTGCACTGTGTGAGGGGGGAACCAGAGACTTACCCTGTGCACTGTGTGAGGGGGAACCAGAGACTTACCCTGTGCACTGTGTGAGGGGGAACCAGAGACATACCCTGTGCACTGTGTGAGGGGGAACCAGAGACTTACCCTGTGCACTGTGTGAGGGGGAACCAGAGACTTACCCTGTGCACTGTGTGAGGGGGAACCAGAGACTTGCTCTGCACACTGTGAGGGGGAACCAGAGACATACCCTGTGCACTGTGTGAGGGGGAACCAGAGACTTACCCTGTGCACTGTGTGAGGGGGGAACCAGAGACTTGCTCTGCACACTGTGAGGGGGAACCAGAGACATACCCTGTGCACTGTGTGAGGGGGAACCAGAGACATACCCTGTGCACTGTGTGAGGGGGAACCAGAGACATACCCTGTGCACTGTGTGAGGGGGAACCAGAGACATACCCTGTGCACTGTGTGAGGGGGAACCAGAGACATACCCTGTGCACTGTGAGGGGGAACCAGAGACATACCCTGTGCACTGTGAGGAGGAACCAGAGACATACCCTGCACACTGAGCCTCTGATGGAGGAGACAACCTGGGAGAGGCACAAGGCAGCCAACAATCTGGCAGACAGCCTGCAGGCAGAGAGAGCCAGTGTGTACAGAGACAGCTTCCAGCCGTTGATGGACATTGAGCAAGAGACCACAGAGATTTCACACTGAGCTTCACCTGACCTGATACACAGGAGGGACAGCCTACAACCTCTGACATCCTACAACCTCTGATATACAGGAAAGACCAGCAGCCTGCATCCTCTGACATCCAGACAGCCTGCATCCTCTGACACACAGGAGAGAGACATACTACTTGTCCCTAAAACATCCTGAGAACCAACAGATGCCAGGTGAGGTGTTACAACTGTCACACAATAAGGGCTAATGCTCTGAAGGCACCACAACCAGGAGCAGTGGGCAGGCAGATAGGCAGTCCTCAGGAGACTTCCTGAATGTACCAGAGGACTGCCCCACCTACATGCTTCACAAATCGTGACATAACCGTAGAAACTGCCAAAGGTTTGGTTGCAGTCCAGACTCTGTGCTGTAAGGTACGGGAATAACATTCCATCAGTAGCTCTGAATGATGTTGCCAGGATCATTATCTGTGAGGTGACAAGCCAAGAACTTATGGAGTGTGACAGTGTGGACTGAGCCCTACCCCCCTGTCATGCACAATGCAGTATTTTATATTCCTTTTTTTTGGTTTTGTATTTGCCCTCACATCCTCTCTGCCTGTCAATGATTCAGAGCAAGTATCAGATTCCCTTTTCCCTAGTGCCGATCAACCTTTGAACTCATCACATCTGTTGATCACATCTGTCCCGCCCAGCTTTGGATCCTTATCAGTCTCACCACCTACACCAGGATTTCTACAGATCGGAGATGGTTGCTGCCTGCAGTTTGACTTTCCGGAGCATAGTGAGGGTGTCATTGTCATCAGTGCTGGAGCTGCAGCTTCCACTTTTAATCTTAGCGTGAAGTCCTTGGACACCTCGGTGTTGCAGGTTCTCAATGTGAGTCGTGGTTCTGGTGGACTACCAAACAAGTTCCTGGCACATATCTGGTCAGGCATGCCTGGCACAGCACCTCTTCACCTTAGACTGCACCTCCTCGGTTCTGTAATTGAAGAGCGGGATGACTTCTCAATTCATGTTATTGCCAATGAAGAAGCTCCAGAATATACAGGATTTGCTGCAAGCCACTTTTCTGAGAGTCCTCTCCTCTATGCACTGCTGCCCCTCATCTTCGTCAACAAGTGTGCCTTTGGATGTAAAGTGGACCTTGAAGTTCTAAAAAGCCTAATAAAGCGCCCCCACCCGGTCCTGCTAGGCATTGTGGGAATTTGTTCTGATGCCTCTATATGCATACATCCTATCCTTGCTTTTGGGACTCTCTCTTCCCCTGGCGCTGGGCCTGGTGGTCACCTGTTCATCTCCAGGAGGTGGTGGTGGGTATCTATATAGTCTCCTGCTGGGTGGAGATGTCACTGTGGCCATATCTATGACATTAGTTTCCACACTGGCAGCTGTGGGCCTTATGCCTCTTTCCTCTTCACTTTATGGACGGTTCCTTGGTGTACACCAGACGTTGCACATTCCTTTTCTGAAGATTTTAGCTACACTGCTTTTTATAGCTGTGCCTATTTCCACAGGAATGGTGATCAAATGGCGCTTTCCCCAAGTGTCTCGCCTCCTCCTGATGGTTATAAAGCCTTTCAGTGTTGTGTTAATGGTTGGGGGCTTAATTATGGCCTATCAGATGGGGTCCTCACTGCTGAGCAAAGTGCAACCCATACTGGTGATAGCTGGGGTCAGCGTGCCACTGGTGGGACTCCTGACTGGATATGTACTTGCATACATTCTTCGTTTACCCATCTCACAACGTAGGACGGTTAGTATTGAAGTCGGGGTACAGAACAGCCTTTTGGCCTTAGCTGTTCTCCAGCTCTCCTTCCATCGTACCGAGGCTGATCTGTCTTCTCAGGCACCGTTCTTGGTGGCTCTGAGTGGAACTTCGGAGATGTTACTGTTGGTCCTGTTACACTTCGCCTACCGAAAGTTTAAAGACAACAGAGGCTCTGGATGAGAAATATACCAACTAAGATGATTAAAATAGTTTACATGCTGCAAATGTGGACTTTACACTCATGCTCCTCTCCCCCCCCCCCCCCCCCCCCCCCCCCCCCCCTTTTCCCCTTTTTTTTTTTTTTTTTTTGTTTTTTTTTTTTGGTTTTTTTTGAGTACATTTTACATTTCCTCTCCTTTCTGTATATTTTACTTTTCTGACATTCCATTCAAAAATACCCTTTTTATTTATTTTTGCCAAAATTTGATTGTAAGGCAGGTCAGCAATATAAAATTTAAATAGCCTGTTAAGTTTTTCATTTATCCAGGTCATTGTATATCTTAGCATTAGTTAGTCGCATTTAACTGGACTTGTTCTGTAATGTTGAAGACGTTTGTAGCTTATCCAAGTAACTAATAAAAAGTGTCAGGAAAATCCCCCTGCTTGGATAAGCTACAAATCATCTTAAATATTACTGACCAAGTCCAGCATGTTTCTTCTAGTAATATTTATTTCTATGAATAATAAATGAATGGTGTTTCTGGTCTTTTTCCACTATGCCTTTGCAGGATTTTCAAGTATGTACTTTGGCTAAAGAGAGAGATCTAAACTTGGCTTGTTACCATTGGGTGTGTTACATTTTTAGAATAATTTTGTACACTAAGGAAACTTGTATTGAGTGGTGTTTGAGGGTTGCCGCTGCTGACCTACTTCTGAAAATGCTGTTTGGCTGGTAGTCACACTGATACTGTAACTTCATTACTTGGAGCCACTTATCTAAAATAGACATGCAGCAAACAAATTGAGATCAAAGCTGTCCAGGCACTGATAGATTCCTTTTGCTCAGCCTGCAGGTTGAACAAAAGAAATCGAACAGGTTAATCTACCCACACTATTGGCATGGTTAGACAAATTCTCCTTATCAAGTTGTATGCTAACAGTCATGAGCAGTGGCTGTCAGGATACCTAATCAGTGCCTGTGCTAATTAGCTGACTGTTTTTGGCCCAGTTCCTTAAGTATACGTTTGCGTAATTGACTTATTGAGCTGGCAAGGCCACCCACAGTTAATTCTGGCCAATTCCTCTGAATGCTAACAGCCAGCTTAAAGTGATTGTATATCCTTAGCTTGTAAAACAACCAATTCAGTTTAAAATAGAAATGAAAGGCAAAACATTTGTGTATAAATATTAAAAAAAAAACTTTACAAATCCTTTTTTTTCCTTTTTTTATCAGTGATCACATTCCCTCTGTTCTCAGCTGCGCAAGAGCTATAGGAAGAGAAACAGCAGGACACTGATCTTTTTTCTGATAGGCTGTGCAGAAGGAGGGGTGTCAAGACAAGTATGACCATTGGAGGAGAGTAGGTTGAGTTCCCAGCACAGCTAGAGACCTGAACACAGTGTGTTCTCATGCTTAGTGTGGTCAGTTTTTAATTGGAAAGCAGAGGGACTGGCAGGAACACCAGGGATTTCACACAAAGGAAGCAATGCAAAGAGGAGCAAGATACATTTTCATACAAGTACATGGTACAGAAGGCACATATCAAGAATATGAAATGTTTTCTTTAAAACTCATGTATGCTTGATCTGGGCCAGTGAATAAATGTATTGAAGTCCTGACTGCCAGAAAGCTAGCATTTTTCAGGGGAGAGGTCAGCAGTGGCAGGCTACATAGTTTTTCTTAACACAGGTATCCTTTTAACAATGGAACTTCCCAAATAACAGAAGAGGAGTCATGTAGCCAATGTACGAAGAAATGCCTAGTGCAGATACCCACCTTTTTCTTTGTGGAAGCTTATGATTAGTGATGTTCCTCCAAAATTATTGACCAGATATTTAAATTTTGTATTTTTTCTGCTTTAGATGGCTGTATCTAAAGTATTTCTAAGTAGGAAACTAAGCTGAGTACTTTATTACTAGATAAAACCAGTAACTTGAAATTCTGTACAGGCATAGTGGAGCAGGATAACCAGTAAAAGTATTTCTTTGGCATGTTGTTCAATGTCCTATTTGTCAAGCAGTTGCTGTACCTAGGTACAGGTTTCTCTAACCTATGTCTTAGTTCTTTGTTAAAATAGGTGCAAGTCCTCCATTGATGAGTTTACATGATCGTTTTTTCAGAAACTGTAAGAAAGGGGAATCTAATGTGGTTAATATGCCTTTAATAGGAAGCTGTCCTGAGAGAAATGTGTTGTGTGCCATTGCTGACCTCCTATAAAAATGCTGGTTACCTTGTTGTCTTGCCAGTCTTTTTTCAATAACTTGACAGCCAGGTAACCAGAATTTTCCGAAGGTGGGAGCAATTGTAGCCCAATATTACTCTTATGTTTATAAATCTTAAAGATATTCAGTGACCTCAGGCACCTAAAACTGTATTTGGGTAGCAAGATCAGTCAGCTCCCTTCGGTGTTTAATCTTGTGTCTTGACCCGCCATTCCTAAGTTATTACCATGTCATACTCTAAAGCCAAAGCTTTGTGTGCATAAGGCTCCATGCACTGAGGGTGGGGTGGCTGTTTTTTTATATACAATTGTTTTGTAAACAGGGTATGGTGAAGGACTTTTTCCCTTTCTTTTTTTTTTGTTTTTTCTTTTTTTTGCTACATGGAAATTAAACAGAATTAAGATCCTAGCGTGTGCTGTGTGTGTTTAAGAATGTCTGGCCGTGTACAGTGAAGAGTAGGCACCCATACACCGATAGTTCATTGCAGACCCATTATGTTTATTTAGGCATACTGGCTACACATATGTCAAACATAGAGCGGTATGGGTTATATATTGTTGCATGACTGCATATTTTTTCGATTTAGTCTTTGGTGACTTTATGTACAGTATTTAAACTATTTATTGAGTAATATTACAATCGAGTCTCTTGCATACATCACCTGAAATTTAATTCTGCTGCTGTGGAAGCAGAAACATGGTGCCTGCTAAAATCACTTTACTGACAGAAATTCTTCATTACTTGAAACCTATACTGTGAGAAGTACAGAAGGAAGCTGCCTGGCTGTCTCTTGCCTCAATACATTTTGAGTCATTGGTCTGAAACTAGCATGCACTAGTGAAGTTGGAGGAAAGTCAAAACTTCTGATTGGCAGGACTTCTGAGGTGCAGGTCAATGACATGACAATTGAAATCTCTGGATTAGCATAATGGCCAGGCACCTGGAATGATAAAAATCAGAGATAAGCAATGGCATCTTAGCTATTGTTCTTATGTGTTGTTCAGAAAGGTAATGTCATCATGCTTATGTGGCTGTGGCTAATTCACAGGTGTGGCCAGTGAAAGCAGGAAGTAGAGCTATGGTTTTACTGTCCCTGCTCATGCACCTAAACTAGGGTATGGTTACACTCCTGACTATACTTGCCGCAGCAAAATTTAAATGGCCTGTCCCTTTCCCAATCACATGTATGGGGATGTGACAAAACTTTGTGAAATGTGTGTGGTTGAAGCTCAATGGGTTGCCATTTTGAGGGTTAAAGCAGGCAGTGAGAAGACTAGATATCGCCTCCTAACTGCCTTTCAAATTCCCTCTGAAAAGCAATGCACTACAGGTTGCTTTTCAGAGGGACGGTAATATAGCTATACAAATGAACGAGCCCTTAGTGAAGTCTAAACCTTGTCGTCATCCATTTTCCAATAGGCTGGTTGTTAGAGTGGTGCTGCCAGTGTACCCATGAAATAAAACATCAATGTATAGCAGCACCTCTTCTAACAACCATTCGTTAGAGCCTGGACAATGTCAGGTAAGGGCTCACCCTTCACACAGCCATGACAATAAACCTGTCATGAGAGAAATATTAGGGCTGTCATGGCTGATTACTCCTGCTGAACATGCTGGTTGCCTGGCTGCCTCTGATGTCTGTGCTTACTGTCACTGACCCTCAACAAGTATAAAAATAAGGAGCTTCTAAACTTTGCCTGTCTTCCCTGATTTCAAAACATTGAAGCCAGGAGAGTGTAGTGGCATTTCTGTCATGGGAGGAAAGTTTGAAATGAAACTTAAACTAGTAAACCAAAATCTGTAGCAGCATAAGCTGGCAGAGGGTAAACATTTGCATTTAGATATGCGACTGCAGTTCTATGTGGAGCTCTCCTTTAAATCCTGTATATACACGGGTTCCACCCTATGTGGCAGCACCCAGGTCTACTAATATTTGTAAGGAAACAAGCCGTACAAAATGGTCATTGCTCATAGAATTGTCCATATGGAAGAGAACGTTTGAGAGAATATTTACCTCAAGGACTGGTGTTTATTCATCATGGAATGCATGTATGAACTGTCAGCATGTTTGGTGGAGCTAATAATGGCCACTTCATCAGGAAGGTGCAAGTTAACACTTTAAAGTCATCTTGATGTAAAAGATTGTCTCATGCATTGTTTTCCGTATGAGCGCCTCTGCAATCGGTGACCATTTCTTGGTGCTAGGTTCCTCACACATATCCTCCTACAGGATCCACCTGCCTTCCCAGCACATGATCATACAAAAACCATATTGACATGGGAATTGTACCTATATTACTTTTTTGATTAATACAACTGAAACCTAAACCTGCTGGATTCTCCTGAGACTTTATATACCATTTTCCCATATTCGCTCTACATCCCTTTTGAGTTTTCCTATGGTACAGGCCTACTAATATGCTGCTCAGGCCCTAGGCCTTGCATTGTAGAATTAGAAAGGGAGAAGGGGGGTGTACCTATTCTTTACTATGGGTAGGAGGTGATCCTTGCAGGGAGAAGAGAGCTTGACTGCAGCAGTAGATGCTTTAAAGTGTTACTAAACCCACAACAGTAAAATCAGTCTATATGCAGTAAAGCATGCTTGTTATACTCACTGTGGAACCTAAGGGGTTAATCCTCTGCATTGTGTAAAAAGGCTGTTTGATCCTGCCTTCTCTGATCTTCCCTTTCATCTACTGTCTCCAATCCATCTGCTGATAGCACAAAGCCTTGAACAAAAAAACGGTACCTCACCCACACAGTCTCACCCACACAGTCGATGTGGACAGAGGAATCCT